AGGCGTGCAGGTGAACTTTCTAAATCAAAGTCTGTTGCTCTTAGGGTCAAATTCAAACTCCACAACTGGTCACCACCTCTCCCTTGTACTAGCTGGCCCTCAGCTCTAGGTTCACTTTACTGTGATCCACACACCTTGGGTCAGCCCTCCACACATCTGTGCTTCTTCCTTCATAAATGCTCCTTCCACTCCCTCCACTTTCTGCTAACACCTCCACCCTGCCTCAAGCCAAGCTAAATCCTTCAGTCTCAGCTTCATCCTCCCTTCTGTTAGGAAGGACTTCCTTGACTTCCCAGGCCTGGATGAGATGCCTCTCCCCTGGATTCCCAGACCCCTGTGCCTCCTATGACACTGAGCCAACAATGCCTATGATCTTGTCTGTAGCACCCTTAGTCTGCATAAACCTTGTCCCTATCCACCATGTATCCTAGGAGCCTATCTCAGCAACTGGCACTAAATAGAGGTGCAGGAAATAAATGTTGAACAAGTGAATGGAGGGAGGAGGGAGTCCTGAGGGGAGGGGTGGGAAGGTTGTTGGGGACAAGGGGGATATGGTACTGACCTTCCAGCTGCACATTTGCCAGCCAGACTGGAAAGCCGAGACCATGAGTGTGGAGACAGACTTGGCAGCCGTCCGGGGCAGCTGCAACAGGGACCGGCTCCCACGATCCAGCTCTACTTTAGCCCCATCTGTTGTCTTGGCCAATGTGCAGGGATCAGCCACCTTGGAGAACACTCCCATCCTGCAGACTTTAGCCTCTTTAAGGGGCTCAACCAACATGCAAGTCTCAACCACACTGGAAGCCTTCTCCATCTTCAACGCAGATTTCTTGGAGTCAGGGTGTTCCACAATGGTTGACTTAGCTCTGTGTTTCCAGAAAAACACCTAAGAACCAAGAAGGGAGAGGAAGGATGGGAGAGAGGGCCGGAGTGGAGACAACTGTCAGAAGAAGGGAAGGCACAGAAGGGATGGGACAGAGTGTGTCCTGGCCTCCTCCTTGGCTGTCCTGCCTCACTTCTCCCTCCCAGTCTTGTTTGACCACAGGAAGCCCGAGGGGAGGGAGGCCAGGTAGAGGGGGTGTTTGTGTGATCTAGAAGTCATTGACCAGCACCTCCCACCCCAGCATGGTATAAGCAAGGGCAGTTTCCGAAACTTACCAAGGAAGTAATCTTTCGCCAAACCCACTGGAAGAGTCTTCTGATAGCCATTTCTCCCAATTTACAAGTCCCAAGTAGGGGGCAAAACCAGCATTTGGCATGGGGGGGGGGGGGAGGGTGTGGGGGGCAAGCTGCAGGCCAGTGGCTGCCACCTAAGAGGTCTCTCAGGAACTTCAAATGCAGCAGTGAAGAAATAAATAAGGAATCTAGGGGTTAAGCTCCCCCTGACAATTCGTCCTAGGCCTTCCCTCCCCTCCCTGGGACAGGGAGAGGAGTCAAAGTGGATGAGAACCCAGAGTGAGGGAGAGTTCCAGCCCATTGTGAGAGCCTGCCTGACCTTGACCCCAACCCCCGAGGCCCTTCCAAGAGCCCAGAGCCAATCTCTGAACCCTTAGCCCTTCTTCCCGCCAAGACACGAAAGGGAAACTAACATTTACGGAGCGCTGGGACTCGCTGGGCGTTTTCTGTGTATGGTGTCCTATAATTCTCACGGCAGCCCTCAGGTGGGTATGACTGTCAGTGCCCTTTTACCCACGAGGAAGCTGGGATTCGAAGAAACCAGAGAACCTGCCCAAGGTCATAAATATCGGGAGCCACAGGGTCAGCCTCCAGCACCCAGCCTTCTACAGGCCCTCTCCAGGCTGGGGACAGGGCCCTCGTGAGCTGAGGCAGCTGCTTTCCCCCACTTCCCCACTAGATGGGGTCCTTACCCCTATCTGCTGCTTCTGCCTGGCCAGGCGCCCAGCTGAGGCTGTCTGGGAGGGGCCTGCTCCCTCACTGGGCCCCATCCTCAGCCAGCTGGGGGTGGAAGCCACAGAGGCTGGCCAGGCCTGGCGAGGGCACTGTGTGCCCGGGAAGCCTGGCCCACACCCAGGGCTGAGACAAGGGGCCCATTCAGGGCCCCCTGCCCCACCCCCAAGCAGCCACCCGGATCCAGCCCGCAGAGGGGACACACTGGGAAGCTGAGGGTGGATCCTGTACAATCACCAAAAGGCCTCATTGTTTCCCTGTCGCCCCCCCCCTCCCCAGCACGTGGGCTGACAGCCCCCTCCACCCTCCCTCCCTCTGCCTTGCCTTGCCTTGCCTGCCCCTTCCCAGGACCTGGCAGGCCACGGGCTCCCTTTCCAGCATCTCTTTTGACCACTCGGAGCCACATTAAACCTCCCCAGTTTGGGCAAGATCTCCAGGGAAGCCTACAGCCTTGGTCCCTCTCCCACGGTAGGAATTGCTCGTGTAGGGCCCCAGTCTGGACACAAGCAACAAGATGCCAATTTCCAGATTCAAGTTTCTTTGGATTTTTTAATTATAATTATTATTTTAATAACAACCTGAACCCCAGAACTTCCAGATACTGTCCATAATCCCTCCCCTGGGCAAAGAAGAGGGGGCACTTCAAGGGAATAAGGTGAGGATGGGGTGTCTGCCAGGAAGCCTCCAACTCCCTCAAGCCATCTACTGCTGGGGGTCCCAGAACACTGACACCTAGGGAGGGAGCAGGGAGCTCCATCTAACACCCTGTCCTGCAGCCTTCTCTCCTCCATCAAGGCCTGGGGATGCCCCAGCCGAGTCCCTGGGCACTATGGGGAGATGGAGGAAGGATCGGGGGACAGGCCAATTCTGAGCCTTTAACTCCCATCCCTAGGGATCAGGGGGAATTAAAGCTGCATAGGAAGAGGGGGCAGGCAGCTGTGGCAGCCCCCAAAGGCACATTGTGAGGGAAAGGAGGCTCAGATGGAGGGCCCATTGGGCGCAGGGGGCCCAAGCCGAGGGACCCCTGAGGACGGCAGCTGGGCCAGCTGCTCAGGGCTGGCCAGGGCACGCAGCAGTCCATTCTCTTGCTCCAGTGCGGCATTCCGCTCAGCCAGGTCCCGGATCTGCTCCTTCAGCACCTCCACCTCCTCCCGGACCGCAAACATGAGGTGGGACTTCACCAGGTCCTGGGGACAGGCAAAGCATCAGGGGTCCCAGGCCACCCCTACTCATTGCCTGCCCAGTAACTTGAAGGGCTGACTGAAAGTCGGAAGAAAACCCTC